CTCTCTCTCTCTCTCTCTCTCTCTCTCCCTTTTCTTTTCTCTTTTTTCTTTTTTTTTCAGCCTCGAGTCAGTACATTTCCTCGCTCGATCATCGTCGTAGTTCCACCTCGTACACGAGGATACCCCGACGAGGATACGAGGTGGCTTTTTATAATCCCTTTAATTGAAACTTTAACGACAGAGTTATGCTTGCAAGCTTTTTCACAACAGGCGTGGGATCGATTCACGAAAGAAGCGAAGCGACTGTCGTCGTCGGATCGTTAGCGATACTCTCGAATCTAGCTATATTGGTACACCCGTCCCTCTGTGCTTTTCACGCGAGTCAGAAAGTACAATGTGTTGCAGACACTGATCGAAACGAGAGAATCTTTGAAGATTCGAGCCAACAAGCGAATATCGGCAAATTTACAAAGACTTGGCAAAAGAGAACAAATCGCCGAAAAGATCAACATTGACAACGAGAGCGAAGTCGAATTGATAATGAGTTTGTGCCAATTGAAAAGAAAAGATTGATTTAAAGGTTCTGGATATATATAATACAAGTAGTGACATACCGAAAAAAAATTTACTTCTTCTTTCTTTTTTTCGTTGAAATATGTATTTCGATACATATTTATAAACTTGTAATATTTTACATAGTAGTTATAATAATTTTATAACAACGTTATATTATAAAATTATTACATTTATAATATCTTGTGATTCCTTCTCTTTTGTACAGGCAGGCGATTTTCATTCGCGTGAAACGAATCCACGTGGGACGGGTGTATCTATCGTGAGAGGAGCGTGTGTCATTACCGAGCTCGCGGTGAAGCTCTCGTCGTCGGGTCCGCCGGAGGTCGGTGTGCCCCAGATATCGTCGCCCGAGGTAGCGCCGGACGTCGTCCCTTCCTCGTCGTTCGGATCCAACGAGAATTCCGTTCTCTCGGGCGGAACCGGCGACTGGAGAAGATATCCACCTATGCCCTCGCCAAGCTGCTCCAACAACGCCGACCTCTTGCTGACCATGTAACTGCTCGCTCGAGCTGTCCACGCTCTCAAACCTGTCGGCGGAGATTCGGTGTCCCGATTATCGTCGTCCCCCTGCTCCTCTAGCTCGTCGTCCTGATCCAGGCTGCTCACCGTGCCGAATCTTCTCAAAACTCTGAAGCAACGAAACAATCGAGTCTCACATCGAGTCTTGTTCCAGTCTTTTGCATTTGTATTTACTACCTGTACGGTGGTTCACCGTCGCAATCCAGATCGTCCTCGCTGCCGTCTTCCGTATTGCCATCGGCCGGAGTGTAAGCTGGACTGTTCCTGCCAGGGCTGTCGTGCAGCCCGTTTCTCAGTCGATGCCTGGTGCACAAGTCGGGTGTTGGCGGCACCACCGAGATCTTCGGCGGTAACGGGGAAAACGGATCTCTCGTCAGAGGCGGTGTCGGGCAACCTGACCTGTAATTACATCGTGTCAATGGATATTTAGCCTCTGTTGTCTGATCTCCCTTCTAGGAAGCAACAGCGGAGATACTTGCTCGTTTGTGAGATCATCAATCATGATTACATCTCAGATGCATTTCCAGAAAACTCATCGAATTTCTGGCTTGCTTTTGCTTTACAAGATATGTATATCGTTGCCACGTGCACAGATATCTTAGGAATTTTCCTCTCTTTAGATCGAAATTAGATTTATTAAAAAAAAATCGTTAAGGACTCTGATCTCGATCCGGGATATTAAATGCGTGAAACAATGCTCTTTTTCAAATACGATGTAATACTGTTTCGTTTGCATTTATATTTTCATCATAAATAAATTCCTTTTATTTTCGATTTCGCAGAAACTGTCGCCAGTTACCTGTGACATCTTCTGCAAATGTTGATCGAACTGGCGGAGTTCTCCTTGGAAGACGCAAGGCTGCCGTTCTTCTTCGCGGTCACGCTGTTGGATTTCACGGTGCTGAGGCTCGCGCTCGACGCTGTACTCTGCTGTTCCACGTCCGAACTGATCACCTCCGTCGCGACGTCGTCCGCTATCGCGTGTCGTTCCCGGCTCGGCTCGTTGCCGGTTTCTCGCGGCACTCGTGCCGCCAGATCCTCGGCCGTCCACTCCTCGATAGGCACCTCCTCGTGATCCGGCGGCGGGATCTGGTGGGAATTGCGCACCCACTGCGCCAGGTGATTGTCTCCCGTCGAACTTTTCACGATACTGTCGATGCTCTCCACGGAGCGCGATCCCTTCTCCTCGTCCTGTTTCTGCGACTCCCTGGTCGTCTGTGGTCGAAAGTATATATAATAAATCGATAAACAAGTGGTCTTCGAGATCGAGATAGACACTCACTTGCGAACTTTCAGTCGATTCTCTAATCGCGGCGGTGGTGAAATTGCTACCGGTGATCGGACTTTCTTCCGGGCTGTCCTGACTCGGTGTTCCCCCATAGCCTGTATTTACATAGATTCTAAAATATAACGTATATTAGTACAGACAGGCGGATCTACCGAAACAGTCCAATAATGACGAGCTTGTCGCAGTCTCGTCGAACTCTGACTTTGGTACGTCAAACATCTCTTTGTCGCCTTGCTTGTGAGAGAAACTCTCTAAAAATCGTACCGGATCAGAATTCCTCGAAACTACAGTGTTTTACCGTGCTGTGTGTAATTTACTTACATTTGTCGCTGAAGGAGATTGTGCCAGACAGCCTTCAGCTCCGGGGTCGGCGCACGCAGGACCAAAACGCGCCTTCGCGGACGACTGTGAGGGCTGCAGCCACCGCTGTTCGTCACCTCGACGTGGCCGTTCTCCGAGCTGCCGGAAGGATTGATCGCGATTTGCAACCGGAACTCCGTGGGTCGTTTGCGGACGGTGAAACAAGCCTCGGCGATGTTCGACAGCCGCAGAGGCTCCTCGGTTACGAACAGAACCCGGTCTCGGGAAACACGAGCGAACACGAGCAGGTCGGTGAGAAGCAACGCCCACGAGGGTTGCAGCCGCGCTCGGCCCTCCACCTTTGCCAGCGCGCCTCCAAATAACCTGCAACGCAGTTTAGATCAGAACAGATTGATCAGATTATGCCAATCCGCTCGGTTTTTTTCGTTTTTTTTTTTTTTTTCTTTAATGTACCTCATGAAGAAATGGCAATTTTTAATGGCAATTACAAGTGTTTATCACTTAAATTAAATTTCTTGCAGAAAGTAAAATATACTTGTGCATTCTAGACGTTTTGGAATGCTTTTGAGACTAGACTTGACTTGATCCTTTTCACGTCATTTCAAAATATTTTCTTGCTTATGAACGTACCGGGACTTTTGTACAAGAAAGAGGAATACAGGTGATTCTCAATTTAATATAAGAAACAATGTACGAAATAACTTTTAGATAATAAGGGGAAGAGAAATATATATATATATTTTCATTCTTTCAATGAGAGTTAATTGAACAAAAGAGACAACAATGTACGCAGAATATTAAATCACATTTTTAAACCAAATTTCATTTGGTACGTTGCAGTGTTGATATTAAGTTAAGTTAAACAATAAAACTAGTCATCCCCTCGTAATTTAACTCAATTTTACAATTAACAGCTGCACGTACTCTGCTTTTGCTTTGACAAGTATAATCGTCATTTAGTCTAAAAACACACTTTCAAAAGCGACACCACAGTGAATTATAAATTCTTTCAGGGATTCACCATTGTCTGCCCGGCATGGCCAGCGTGAACGGTTTACATCTGGCGAAAACCAAACGGGACTCAACCTCCTGCAGACTGAGCAGAGGCTTGCCGGTGTCGCGCGGTGGTTCCATCACGCCGGCGTTCGCGGTCGCTTCCCGGTATCCCTGAGCTAGATCTCTGGCTTGCTGGCAGTTCCTCGGCGATGCCAGGCACAACAGTCTCGTCATCTCTCTGAAAGAAATTTCGCGCGTGTTCACACACACACACACACAGACACATCGCCGTGCGCGACGAGGGAAATTTCTGAGTGGATGCGCGAGAACGAACCTATAGTGCTCCAGAGGCAAGAGCAAGACACCCGTGAGATCGGGTCGCCTTTTGTGCGGCACAGCGGGCTCGCAGACGAGCTTCGCGAACGCCGTGTTTCGCCTGAGCGCGACTAGCAGGCAACACGCGCGTTGCAGCCCGCTCAGGTATCTTCTGTAGGCAGCGGTGATTCTCGGTACTCTGCACAGATAACTCTCGACTCCGCCGCCCTCGTCGCGGATCTCCTCGGAGATCTTGAGCAGCTCGTCGAGATTTTGGAAGAGGATCAGGTAATCAGCCGCGGACAGAACGTCGCGTCTCTCAGCCAAAGGCGCCAGGAAACGCGTGTGACCGCTTTTCAGGATGCCCCAGTACCGCGTCTCGCGCACGGACAACTCCTCCTCCGGCGGCGCGTCCGGCGCGAGGTTCGGAAACACCTGAATGGCGCGTTCAATCATGGCAAAAGCCCGTGTCCGATTCGTCCGAATTGGAAAATTAGAGAGAGAGAGAGAGAGAGACTTGCAATAGAGACTTGTGTGCGGCGTTGCATGCAGAAAATGATAAACTTTGTAAATGATAAGATCGTCGTTGTCATTTTTTTTTTTTTTTTTTTTTTTTTGGTGCATGCTCTGTCTCAGGAACCGCAACGCAACGCGATTTATCGATATAGTATTGAGGGGGCAGGGATGCAATAAATAAACAAAATGCGAGAGATGCTTTTAAACAGAACTTGTTGAGCAACAAAAAAGAAAAAAAGAAAAGACAACATAGTCCAAGTTACATGATAACTGCATCAAACATAACTGCATCATAACTTAACCGTGTCCAGCGACAAAGAAAAATGGACACGCGCTATACACTACGCTCGCAGGGGGGTAAGTTACAAGATAATCACGGGGGCCGGGGAAAGAGAGAATGTACATGGAGAGAAGTATCGCGCGACACAACGTGCAACGTTGCAAACACAAAGATAAGCTCTAGAGAGAAGACGCATGCAAGACGACGCGCTTGCGAGACGACTCTTGGTTCAGAGACGTGGGTGACGTCCGATCGACTCGAATTTGAAACTCGAAATTTCGACGACGTTTTTCTTTTTTTTTTCTTCTTCTTCTTCTTCTTTTTCTTTTATTTATTAAACTAGCACGCAAAACATTTTCGTTTTCATCGAGGCGATCTCTCGACGCGAGACACGAGAGTTACTCGTCCAGACGGAACGAATGGTGGTACACAGTACGATCAAGCGATCGGTCACGATTCAAAACCAAAGCCTCTTCGTCCGCGCGAATGTCCGAACAAATATCGCTCCTCTGATCGCCCGAACGAACGAAAGCAACTTCGACGCGAGTTCGCTAGATTCAGACTAGGACGCCTGTACCGACCTCGGCGTTGAACGCAACCGCGTGGTGGCCACCGCCGATCGACTGCTGCAGACTAACGTTCATCGAGTTAGGCCGGTGCATCGACGAGTGAACGTTCCCCTTGCGGTAAACCTCCAGGATCAATTGGTTCGTGGCCGCCTGGATCAGTCCGAGGATCTCCTCCCGCGATCGCGTCACCACGTTCGTCATGTCAACGAAGACCACGTGATCACCTGGCCTCAAACCGGATCGTTCCGCCGGGCTGCCTGGGTCCACGCGCTCCACGCGGGGCGGCCTTCCCCACGACAGCGAGAATCCCCATGGAATCTATACGAATTGAATGGAAGGGACGTTCAGTTAGCAGCATAGAGGGAAATGATAACGTTCGGAAGACTCGTTTCGTTAACGCCACCGACAAAGCAGCCTTTCAGGGTTTCCAGCGAAAGCCTACTTGGCCCTCTATTGCATGAATTTTTTATGACGAGTTGAGATTATATATGGCTGTTAGTCTCTACTTAAAAATGAGTGTGGTCATGAAATAAATAATAAAGTTTTATTAGAAAATGTTATTTATTGACTGCTGGCAAATAACTACCAATAAATTGTCTACTTAATTTACTATAGAACATTTGAAATTTAATTGGGAACGGAATGCAATAGAGGGTTAAACCCTGCGATCGGACTTGCCGCAAGTGGACCGCTGCGATTCTGTCGGGGCAATTGCACGAAAACAATTACGATTTTTACACGACGTGTACGT